TCTTTCTTTCTTTCTTTCTTTCTTTCTTTCTTTCTTTCTTTCTTTCTTTCTTTCTTTCTTTCTTCTTTTTAAGATTTTTTTATTTGAGAGAGAGAGAGAGAGAGAGCACAAGCAGGGGGAGGGGCAGAGGGAGAAGCGGACTCCCGCTGAGCAGGGAGTCCCATGCTGGGCTCCATCTGGGGTCTCCAAGATCATGACCTGAGCCGAAGGCCAATGCTTCACCGACTGAGCCACCCAGGCACCCCTGTTTATTTCTTTTTAAAACCAATTTTTGGAGAAGTTATGCATACCCAAGCACAGACTTTTTCAGTTATGAAACAAAACAGTGTAGAGTAAACAAAGGGGCACCCCTGTCCCCTGTGAGCCAGTTCTCCTCTCGGGGGATAAATACCCTTAGCAATTTCTTGTGTGTCCTTCCAGAGAAAAATGCATATGTGATGAAAGATGAATTACAGGTTATGAAAAGATGATTCACAGGTGTGCACATGTGATATACAGGCATGCAAAGATGATACATGGGTATCGCATTAAATTTTGGATTAATATAGAAAGACCTAATATCATAATGATTTTGAGTCTCCTTATGCAAGAATAGATCATGCCTCTCAATTTGTCCAAGCATTTCCAAAGTTTTTTTGTGAATATATATATTCTCTCACGTATATATGTTTCTCAAAAGCATAACCATTTTTTTTTTCAAATGGAACTTGTACATGTTATTTAGATGCTTTCCTATTTCTTAAATGTTTTTATATTTTTGGTCACTTTTAATAAATGAGATGTTTTGTTCCATTACAATTTAAAAGATGGTAGGGGTTTGTATACAGAAAGACACTGATTTCTAAAGAATATTAACTTAGTATCTCATCGCTTTTGTGAGGTCTTGTATTGTTGGTGATAGATTTCCAGCTGGTTTTCTCTGGAAGTAATGTTGAAGACAGCCAACCCAGTAGATCCTGTGAGCATGTTAATAAATTCTTTTCGATATGAATAATGGCCTCTCACATCTGTGTAAACTTTCCCTTCCTTCCCTGATTCCACATAAGCCTCTGACACTTGGCAGAAGAAGAAACTGAGGCTTAATAAGGTGGAACAATTTGCCCAAACTAGTGAGCGACAGAGGTGGAATTTGAACCAAGGCCTGTGATGCAACCTCAGGATCACGAGGCAAAGGAGAAATTGAGTTGAGGAGGGGTTTGTGCAGAAGAAGCAGAAGATGACAGTTTTTGAATGTCTACACTGTGTTAAAAACTTTACCATTTTAAAATTTTGATTTGATTTTTTTTGAAGTAATCTCTATGCCCAACGTGGGGCTCAAACTCACAACCCTGAGATCAAGAGTCACATGCTCCACTGACCAAGCCAGCCAGGTGCCTCTATGTGCCATCTTTTTTAAGCACTCATAAGAACCCTTCAAGACCAGCATTATGAGCAGATGGATGGCCAGGGTATGGGCAACACGGATAAAGAGATTTGGGTTTGATTATTGGTTCTGCCACTTACCGGATGTGTGACCCTAGGCAAACTGCTTAACCTCTCTGAACCTTTCTCCACTGTACCCTTGTTTCAAATGGTACCTGGATGGGTCCTTTTTTTTTTCTTTTTTTTTTTAAGATTTTATTTATTTATTTGAGACAGAGAGAATGAGAGACAGAGAGCATGAGAGGGAGGAGGGTCAGAGGGAGAAGCAGACTCCCTGCCGAGCAGGGAGCCCGATGCGGGACTTGATCCCGGGACTCCAGGATCATGACCTGAGCTGAAGGCAGTCGCTTAACCAACTGAGCCACCCAGGCGCCCTGGGTCCTTTTTCTAATGAAGGTCCATCTACTGGGGCTTGTGGCCAGGAGGAACATGTTAGTCCTTGGACCCACACACTGGAACTCTATTCCAAGGGCCTAGAAAAGCTGAACTGAAATGTGTCTCCAGCTTCTGTGTTTGATTCTTCCAGGGGAGCCCAGATCTATCTATAGGGAGGCTGGGAATGTTGGTGCTCCTATGGACACAGCATTCAGGTTAAACTTTAGCCAGAATTATGGCTAAGTCACAATTAGCAAGATTTTATAGGACCTAATTCACATCAATGGGGACAGAGTTGAAATTCAAAGCTGCGTTGGGATTTTCCATAGCTGGGTTGACTGGCATCACCAAAGAATAACTGAACACCTATAATATGTGCAGTGAGAGAAACAACAATATGAACTTAGGAAATGGGAAGTTAAAAGGCAATGTTTGAAATTTATTTTATTTATTCTTTCACTTAGTCTGATTATTATTATCCTATATAATGCGGCCAGGCACTGAGTTAAGCATAGTAGAGCATATATAATAACTAATGTGTATTGAGCACGTAGTATATGCTGGGCACAGTGTTAAGTGCTTTACATTTATTAACCTGTATAATCTCCATCACAAGCCTGTGAGGTAGGTATTGTAATTATCATCATTTTGCATGAGGAAACCGAAGGTACAGAGAAGGTAACTTACTTGAAATCACGTGGCTGGGAAGTGAAATATTTAGCTCAGGTAAGGATGTATATGACAAGTTTCCCAGTGCTCCAGGAAGCTCATAGAATACCAGGGCAGAACACATTGATATGAATAGTAATCATAGCTAATATTTATTAAATGCTTCTTATTAATTGCTTAATGCAGATATTATCTCATTTAATCCTCACAGTGACTTTATGAGTTAGGTTCTCTTTTATTGCCTGCTGTAGTGATGAGGGAATGTACTTGAGTAACTCACCCAAGTTGGGGTTGGAAATCAGGCAGTCTACCAGTGAAGCCCACACTGAGAACTGCAACACCACCCTGACCTTGACCTTGATGTGTAGTGGTGTAGAATCCAGACCAATGCAACAGTGGAAAGACGCTCCATGGAGCAGGGGAATTTATGAGTGTGCTTTGAAGGATGAGTAGGAGCCTACTTTTTCCCATACCACTTAGTGGACAGTGTAGCCAAGAGATAACTGTGGGTTCGAATAGCAGCCCCACCATCTTCCCAGCTGAACGGCTTCTGTTTATCCCCTCTGACCCTGTTTTCTTAATTGTAAAATGGGGACAATGAAAACTATTCCTCTCACACCCCCTGAGGAATAGATATAATTGGTTCAGGAAACAACCAGCTAGCTGTTGGGCATGTAATGTGGAACAGTGGTCAAGCTGATGCACACATGGGTACAATATCAACAGTCCCTACAGAGCACTTACCACACACCAGGCACCATTCCAAGCACTTAACATAGATTCACTTGCCAATGATCTTATCAAATAGGTACAATTTTTAGGTCCATTTTATAGATAAGAGATGGTAGCCCAGAGAGACTGAATAAGTTATGCTGAGCTAGGAAATGACAGAGTGGAAACCAGGCAGTCTGGCCCCAGAGTGCATGTGCATAGCACCTCTCTACTGCCTCAGTTGTAGAAAGTGGGGTTGAGACTCTCGGCCAGCAACGCCACATAATCAAGAGTGGGAGGAGGGAAGTGTGTCATTAGGGGAAGCTTTTTGGAGGCGCCATCTTGTCCTTTGGAAAACCTGACTCCTTGGCAAGTGGCAATCATAACACACACAAAGCACCTGGCTTCTCAGACCAGGAAAGCAGGACCCTCCAGAGTATGCCCGGGGTACAGGAAACCATAGCGTAAACACGGCTCGTTCACTCATTCCATAAGTTTTTATTGTGTACCAGGAGCAGTTCCACGAGCTGGAAATATAGCCATGAGCAAAATCAAACAAAAATCTCTGCTCTCATAGAGTTGATGTTCTAGTGTGGGGAGACAGACAAGATGCAAATAAATAAGTAGACTATATGACCGAGGGTGGTGGTATAGAGAGAGATAAAATGGAGGGTGGAATGACCTATAACAGCTTGCGCTATCAGATAGGATGGTATTTGGGAGATCTCTCAGAGTGCTTGGCCTGTTGAAGGAGTAGCAAGGAGATGGGTGTGGCTGGGGTAGAGAGCAAAGGGGAGAGCAGTTAAGATGAGGTCAGAAGGGTGGGGGGGAGGGAGGTGGGAAGGAGAATGCATCTCCACCCATCTTTAAAGTTGGTGTGTGTGCTATAGAAACAAACATGAGTTTAGAATGCAAACTATGCATACATTTCACAGTTGGAAAATGAGACTTGAGCACAAGGTGCTCATGGAGCCTCCCCTGCATAAACATCCCAACTCACCCCCTCTCTGCCCATCCCTGTGAGCCCATGGGGTTGAAAGTGGGAACACCAGGTATGAGTGACTGTGACCGGGTTTCTAAGGCTTGGGGTCTGAGCCTTGGAGACCACCACTGCCTCGGCGTTCCGAGGAGGAGAACGTCTGGTTTCCTCACAGCTAAGATGGGAGTGTAGTCAGGGAGGTCTCAAGAGCCCTACTTCCAGGCTTTCCCCAATCTCCTTATCCTGGTGCTGGGAGGCCAGTACGTGACCGACAACAGACACCGCAGGGAATGTTCGCCGATTCAAACTGAATTCGATAAACCCTCAGGCACACCTGGGAGAATAGGATGCCTGGAAATATTCCTCAGCTCCAGGGCCAGTTTGGGGCCTTCTTTGAGGTTTCATTTGATCGTTTTAGACTTGGATTTGCTTTGAACTGGTTGACCACTTTGGTTGCTTTTCAGGCAGGGTGGAGGGGGGTGGCTGGAAGGGAACTTTGGTTCAGTTCATAATTTCATGAAAAACTAACATTGAGTTCGGTTCAGAGTCCAGACAAGCACTTCAGTTTGTTTTAGGTGTTAAGTCCCTATCTGGGGGGCAGCCCCCTGGTGTTTCTTTCTTTTCAACAAACAAGCTAGTCACGGAGGGAGTTGAATATGACGTCATCCTAGCCTGTAGGGGTGAACGGGGACGGTACAAGGCTCAGGGCAGAGCTAACAGCCGTCACCGACTGAGTGACACTTGCCGTAAGGCAGAGACTGGTAAGAGCGCCCCACCCGCCATAATGAAACAGGCTTAGGGGTTTCAGGACTTCATCTGACTCTAGACACTGTCTCTTTCACAGAGTCCCTACAAGAATATTTGAGCAACTTGCTGTGGTCTGGGAGAGGAAGAAGCTGCAGGTTTCACAGTATTTTCATGCATACATTCAATTTGTTCAAACTGAAATGTGTTAATACACTAAGGATGTCGAGAGACAAACCTCCTACGACTGACCTCCATCATTCAACTGAACCTGGGAAGTGGGGAAAAGTTGTGAGTCAAGTATTACCGAAAGTCAGAAGAGGGAACAAGTAACTCTTTCCGGGCAGGGGGTGGGGGGGTGACATTTGCTCCAGGCATTCAGCAGTAGCAAACCTAGACTAGGTACCCACCTCCTGCCGGGCTCAAAGGATCACAGTCCCTGTCTTTGGGGCCGAAAACCCAGGACAGTTTCTCCGGTTTAAGGACCACCTGTATCAAAATTGTCCTGATGCTTGTTAAAATGTGAATTTCCCCTCTCCCCAGAGAACGGGAATTAGATGGATAAAGCGGGTCTGGGTGTAGCACCCAGGTGATTCTAATGCACATTCGAGTTGGCCAGGTGAGCGGGGGTAAGAAATCAGTCCAGGCAGGAGGAACAGCATGGAAATAGCTTGGGAATCCTTCCTAGCCTTCAGGCACTGGGGTTGCAGCTCAAGACTGTAGGCTCTAGGAGAGGGATCGTGTCCGTGCTGTTTACCACCCGGGGCCTGAAACACACGAGGGCTTCATAAATATTTGTCAATATGCTGGCTCCAAGACAGAAGTGACAGGAGAGTCAAAGAAAAAAGGAAGAAGTCAGAGGAGGAAAAAAAGGTGTTTCTAAGGGGATGAAAACTTTCCAAAAAGTCCCTCCGGAAGGCAGCTCCGCCTAGCAGAGGGAGTTGGGGAGGTGGCCGCTGCGGAAAAGGGCTGAGTCCAGTCGGCTGCAGCGGGGGGACAGAGCGGGAGGCGCCTCCTCTCCTCCCCAGGCCAGCCGAAGGCATGAGGTCACCGGGCAGGGCGCCAGCAGCAGCTGCGAGGCCGCGCCCGCGCCGCCGCGGGAGGCGGTGTCAGGCTCCGGCCCCCGGGGGAATTTCCCTCCCGCCCCCTCGGGAGGCGTGGCTCGGAGTCCCGCCCACCTACTGCCCGAGCCTGAGCTTCTCCACCGCCCCCGCCCGAAGCCACACCCCCCGAGCTTCGTCCTCCCCGTTTCCTCCAGGGTCCCGAGACGCCGGGCCTTGGCCGCGCCCCCGACGACGCCCCGCCCCCGGGCCCCGCCCCGCGGCTTGAAGTGGCTCGGGCTGGGGCCGCCTCCGAGTCGCGCGCGGGGCGTGGGGCAGTGCTGGGCGGGCGAGGCTGCGGCGAGCTCGACGCCGGGACCGTCCAGGGAGGCGCAGCGCAGCGCGGCGGGAACCCTCAGCCGGAGCAGCCCCGGAGCAGGAGCAGCCGCCGCCGCCGCCGCCGTCCACGGAGCGCAGCCGAACCGGCCATGGCGTTGTCGATGCCGCTGAATGGGCTGAAGGAGGAGGACAAAGAGCCTGTCATCGAGCTCTTCGTCAAGGTGAGCGCTCGCCCCCGTCCCGCCGCGCTGAGCCCCCGGCGTCCGCCCGGCCGGCCGTGGGGGGGCGGCGCTCCTCGGCCCCGGCGCCCCCGCTGCGCCCTCGCGCGGCGCCCGCCCCGCCCCCCCCGGCCCAGAGACGCTGCTCCCGCGCCCCCGGCCCATTGTCTCGGGCGCACCCGCGCCTTCCCGCCGCCCAGGCCGGTTGAGGGAGCCGGGGCGGGACCGGGACCCCCGGCAGCCGGCACGCGGAGCGGCGGTCACCGCCTCCAGCTGCGCGGGCTCCGGCGGCCGCCAGACCGTCGTCCCGCGTCGGGGTGGGACGCGCCGCTGCCCGCAGGACCCGGGCGGGGGTGGGCCCCGTCACCCCCGGCCCCGCGCCCGCCCGACCCCACCCTCACCTCCGAGTCTCCCCGGCCGGGACCGAAACCTCTCAGTCGGGAGATGATGAACCCAACTTCTTGGAACGCTTTGTCAACGAGCATTTCGCTGCCCGCTGGCATGAAACTCTAACTTTAATTTTCGATGCGATCTTAATTTTTTTTTTTTTTTTTTTGAAAAGCAGACATTCCAGGGCTTCCGGGAAAGACCGAGATTCCCAACTTGGGTTTTCCTGTCTTAGGTAGTTTACCACCATCTGGGTTTCTTGTTTCTCAAACTCGGAGTGGTTTGTATGATGCAACATTTTGGCTGCTCCCTTCGGTGTTGCTGCCTCGGGAAAGATTGTGTGCCCTTTTGTTTTGAAAGAAAAACTGATGAGGGAAAGAATTCATAACTTGCTTGGGCTTTAAAGGGTTGATTTTCCCCTTTGGTCTCTTTCCTGGAACTATCTTACTTGCTTACAGATTATACCCCTATCTCTTTCCTATTTTAATATTTTTCTTTTTAGCAAAGGAGAGAGAAGTTATGAACATCTGGCTCCAGCTGCCTCCCTCAAAACCTCAAAATCCTTGAGATGCTCATAGTCACTTACACAGGCTTATTCAGGGCTCTGAATTGGAAAGTTAACAGGAATCTAGAACAATTTTGTTCTTTTTTCCCTGAGTTTTTATTTTAAAGAAGGGAAGATATTGAAGGGTGTGTTTGAGAGATGGGAGAGAAGACATGATCAGAACAATGTTCGTTTTAGGACTTTCTTTCAGTTATCGGTGTTAGAAATATTTTGGTGTTAGAAACATTTTGGTTCGGGGAACCGGAACAGCAGACAGGTCTAGAACCCCCAGAATATTTTCAAAGATTCTGTTTGGGTGACAGATACAGTACTGGGAAGTGCAGAGGATGTAGGAAGGAGCCTGAAATAAGAGAAAGTAAGATGGGTGGAAGGCAGAAGGATGGGTCACAGATCAGTGTTCAAAAAATTTTATTGAATTAGGAATAGGAAGGAATTTCCATACACTCAAAAACAGTATATCTACTGAAGTTCTAAAAAAAAAAAAAAAAAAACAATACTTAATGGTGAAACTTTAGAAGTAGCATTAAATTTAGAATCAGATAAGGATACTATCAGTAATGGTTTCTTTTCAGCCTTGTGCTGGAGGTCCTAGCCAATACAACAAGACAAGAAAAAGAAATCAAGTGTATGAGTTAGAGAGGAAGAGATCAATGCCTAATGCTCTGCCTACTATTAATTTAACCCTTCAATTAGAAGGAGAGGGGCATGGTGCATTGTTTCTCAACCCTGAGTGATTGTATACTGCTTCCCAGTTTTCCATATTTGTGTTGGATGTGTATTATTATTTACTAAATACATCTTGTAGTAATATCTGAAACTGATTAGGTGTGGTGATTATATTTCTCCTGTGCCTAACTATTAAAGTAAAAAATGTTGTGATCCACCTAAAAGCATCCTGCTTACCACTAATTGTAAGTCTTTCTCACGGGGCTTGGTGGCGGAGACCCAGGGTTCAAGTCTCAGTTCTGTATTCAATGGGCAAGTTGTTTTCCTTTTCTGAGACTTATTTTCTTCATTTATGAAATAAGAGGTGAAATGTTTTCTGCTGCCTTGTGATCCTGCTTAGGTAAAACATTGTATTGATATAAACCAGGAGAGTTGTTTCAAAGGAGAAAAAAAAAAGGGCCAGGTAAATTGTGGTAAAGAGTATTCTTTTTTTTTTTTTTTTTTTTTTTTGTTAAAGAGTATTCTGGATTTCTTCTCAAAACCTATTTATGGGAAATGCAAATGGGGGAAGATACCCTGGTAAATATAGTTATTTTGAAAGCAGTGAGGGGGCAGAGGCCATGGTTGTTCAGCATGGTATGTTAAACAGTGTTAATTATTCTGCCAAGAGGTATCTGAGTGTGTAGCCAGAAACTATTATACACACTTAAAGCATATGAGTGAAAAGGATACTGAGCTTCCCTGTTTAGGTAGCTTTAAATTTAAGAGAAATAGACCAGGACCTTACTAAGTAGTGTGACTGGACTCACAGCTACGTTGCCCTCCTGGTGAGTGTTATTTTTGGAGTTCTCTGCCCCTGAGTCCAGCGGCTCCCCATCACCTGGATAAGTGCAGTTCTCCATTTGTGTTTGTTTACCCCAATACCCAGAGGGTAGGGCACCCTCCCAATAGTAAAAGAAGCTTACAAAGGCAGTCATCCTCAACAGTGGGAATGCCTTCTTCCCCCACCAAGAGGGGCCTGGTAGGTGTATATATTTTGATATACCAGCTCTAGTTGGGAACCACTAACCAATAGGGTGAAATTCCGATCCTTTAGCAAGGGCATAAGCTTCTTTATAATTTTAATTTATAATTAAAATTTGTGGTCCACTTTGTTCACTTACTAGTTGTGTGTCCCAGGACACAATACTTAAACCTCTCCGTATCTCATCTGTACGGTTAGGATATTAATAGACCAAGCTCAAAGGAATAAATTAGTTGGTATATGGAGCATGTCATAAGATAAGAACAGCTTCTGATACGCAGAAAATAGATACTAAGTGTGTGTCATTTTGTATGTACATATTTATATGCATATCTCCCCTTCTAGATAGACAGTTCCATGAAGGTAAAGTCTGTATATTCTTCTAAGTGCCTGGAAAATAAGAGGGTACCAAATGTTTAAAATGAGATTTGTTTCCTTTTTTCTTAGCACTTTGCTGTTTATATGTATGTGTGACATGCTTTGGAATTGGGAACTACTTACTTAGGTCCTCATAGTCTGAGTCTCAAACCTTGGTCCTTTGCTTCTAAAAAACCCTGTGCGGTTTTATCTACCTACTTTACCCTCCCTCCAGTTTGTAGTACTTCTAGTCTTTTCTTGTACCTTCCATATTTTCCATCAATATTTCTTCTTGGCCGTGTTTAGAATTTGGGAACCAAGATTTCTGTACTAAGTAAAAATGACTGAACCACACAATGAGAGAAACTGAAAATGACTGTCGTTTTTTTCTCTGGCTTGTATAAACCCAGCTCTTGTTGACACTGCTGACTCCCCAGCCCTTACCAGTAGCTTTGGTATGATGCGATGGTATTTCTGATCTTAGCGTAGAAGGAATCCCTTTGTAGAGTTTAGTTTTATGGGCTGGAATTTATTTATTTATTTAACGATTTATTTATTTGAGAGAGAGACAGGGAGAGGGACGGGGGAGAGGGGAAAAAAGAGAAGCTGACTGCCTGCTGAGAGCAGAGCCCTACTTGGGACTCCATCCCATGACCCTAAGGTCACCACCCCAGCCAGAACCAAAGAGTGGGGATGCTCAACTGACGGAGCCACCCAGGCGCCCCTTATGGGCTGGAATTTAAACTTGGTGGTGCATGATTTTGAACCAGGACGATCCCTGTTGGCAGTGGTCACTAAACTGCTGGGATTGGGGT